TCTCCCCCCCTGCCAGTTCGCCGAACATCAGTCGTTTCGGGATTCGCCCGTCCGGCTGCCTTGCCAATGCTCCCGCGAACAGTAGGCGTCGTTGTCCGATGGTGGCTTGAACGCTCTGACATTCGACCCTCTTCAGCGTCTGGGCGTAAGAGGGCTGCCGGTAGGTGTCTTTCTTGCGCTTGTACCCGATAACTCGAAGGAGCAGTCGGTGGTGTATCGACCGCAGCGTCTGATAGTGACCGCTGAGTGGTGACCATGTCATGCAACCGTACCGCAGTGCCTCCATCGCCTCCGCCTGGAGCAGGCGGATCTTGAGTCGGAATGGCGCTTGCGGTCGGTCGAACAGCTCCCGACCATATCGCCTGAGGCACGCCCACGCTCCTCTGCTCCTGTAGTTGATCTCCCGGGTGAGGTCGCCATGTTCGTTGACGAGGCCACCGAGGTACCGGAACTCGGTCGCCTGGGCGTTTTTCTGTTCCGCGGCTTCGATGGTCAGTGGTGGAGGCGGGGCGGGCTGTGATGTTGTAGTCGGCTTGTCCTTTGCGCGCATCAGGAGCGTCTCCGTCTTCTTCTCCGACACCGTTAGCCCGAATTCCCCGAACACCTCAACGATGATGGTCATCGTTCTCGCCAGTCCTTCTGCAGACCTCGATACGACACCGCATGGAACGATAGGGGATGTGCGCGGGTCCACAAATATCTCTTTTAAGTCTCCAAAGAATGTGAGAAGCTCGATATCTCAGCCTGGACCCTGACACCAACAGAACATCCGACGCAATGGGCATCCGATCGACTATGTTAAGCACACTTGAAACTCAAAACACAAGACCCGTAGCAACCGTGGCCTTGTCATGTAGACCGGAACACAAACGCTAAAGCTCTTAAGCCTTTGTGTTCCGGCACACGTTCACGTTCGAAGTTCCTAGCAATCATGATCATATTTTCAGGACGGAGCACAACAAGCACAAAATCAATAATCTCGACAATGTGCGCGTGGCGTACGTACTCAGTCACTTCATGGCTGCATATCCTCGCGTGTTTACGTGCGCTGTGGTGGTATGTTTCACATGCAATCGGAGGAGATAACGGCAGGGGCGCCTATTAAAAAGGCCGCATGCCCGACATACGGCCGGCGAAACCACTTGCACAGGCTTGACCCGATATTAGGTCGATGGCGGCCAGATATTAGAAACCCCCAATATAAGTAAGGCCGGAAGTGGCCCCCCGCCTGCCTCCAATAAGGCCCGCGTCTCCGAAGACGTGACTGACACTTGTTTCGCCGCACATTGCACTACACCTCTCACTGACGTTACCAGTGAAGGCACTGCAGTACCCTTACCGACACATACCTTGTGCAGCATTTGTTGTGTTGGTGGTGGTGGTCTCGTTTTTTTTCTGAAGGTTTTGTCAGGATTTGGCAGTCAGTGCCGCGTGTCCTGTATGTGCCATATTTCAGTTGTGTCTTAGAGTAAGCTTGGCAGGAATTTCGTATTCCTGGTTGCTGCGCGGTTGTTACTTTGGGTTACTCAACATCAAGGGGAGTGCAGCACGACAGCTTGATGGACATTGATCGAAGTTCGGATGGCTCAGTTCTGTGTGTTGGGAGTACAGAGCAGCTCGGCCATGATGGACCGTGGATGGGTAAAAAACGTCTTGGGAAACGTAAACGTGGTCCATTCTTCAGAGTCGTGCGTGCGCTCGTGAATCGGTCACGGCATCAAGCATGCGTCACGCTCATCACCCTTCAAGTACCAAAATAATCTCTCTGAATCTCCATCAAACTCTTCTCACTTCTAAGGAAACTACGCAGAACGTTCAAGTTCCTCCGCATCTCATCACTGCGATTTCTGAAGGTATGTACTAAAGATAACCCGTTATACTATGCCACGAGTACCCCCAATATATCGAATAGTCCCCTTGCTCGTATGCATCGTCATGCTCTGGTAAAACCAATCGTATCCTCTTTGCCATCATCTCCAAACAAGAAAAAAGTCCTCCAAGACGATCACAGCAAAATTCCCAACACAACCAACACTCCTCAAAACAATCAATAAAAATCCCAACGCAACTCCAATACTCGTGCCATCAGACTTTCGCTTTCTCTTGTCCGATCTCGTCTCTCTCGTTTTCTCTCCGCTGCAGGATACGATTTGCCTATGGTCCGTGCACAACAATTTGTCCAATTTTTTTCCAGCGCCCGGGTACACTTTTTCTCTGCACACAGGTGGTCGTTCGGACATCCCAAAGTACCGGCAAACGCCCTGTTTCCAGGCGCATCTCTCTATGGAGATATTTTCCGATTTTTTTATTCCTTGACTTTTTATCTTCGAAAAACGGTGAAATTTTGTATCGTTTCCGCTGGGTCGTGTTTTTGGCCGATATCAAATATCGCAACGGATTTGAGCGTATCTCGGAATTCCCGAGATGTTTTTTATTTTTTTTAAATGCCCATTTTTGACGAAGATATCGACGAAAAACTGGATTTTGGAGGCCAAGCTGTATCGTTTCTAACTACAACTTGACCGTACGCTTTTAAAATAAACAGTGGCAATCGATTCCTCTGGTCAATCCCCAGATGGGTTATTTTCTATTTTTCCAAGAAAAACGAAATTTCACGAGATATCGCCATTGTTGTTGGCCCGTCATGGGAGAAAAAATCGCCAGCAGACGCTGTGCACACACAGCCACAAACACCCACACGCGGACACACACAGGCCCATGCCCCGGGCGAAGAAGAGGAAGCTCGGCCGTGGGTCGGATGGGCGGATAGTTTCGAAGGCCCTGGCACAGCAACATGATCCTCCGGTGTCTGCCGCCGATGTGCCTTCCGTTGGGGACGCACCCGACGACAGCAACGCTTGTGGCGGCAGCGCTTCCTCTATGGATGAAGATGAGGAAGGGGCTGCGACAAACGACGAAGACTGGTGCGATGAGGAACCCAGCAGGACACACAGCAGTGGTGGGGGTCAGTCGATACTGAGGTTCGCAGGGCGTGCTGTGGTATCCGCAGCTCGCTCGGCATCAAACGCGGCGAGAAAAACAAAACCCGCCGTGTTTTCTCTCTCACAAAGCCAGCAATCCCGCCGCCGAAAAGCAGCTTTGGGGCGCCAAGTCGTGGGCTTGGCCAACACTATGGGGATGTTTCTGGAGCGTGCGCGACGGCAGCAGATTATTGTTGTTCGTTGTTTTTCTGGCCCTTCCGTGGAGTTGGCTGTATCTGGCCAGTATTTTTTCCGGAGAAGTTCGTTCTTGTTCCCGTGTGGTGTAGACACAGCAAACACCCGTCAGCAGCAGCTGCAGTTGTTGTTGTTGTTGTTGTCTTCACATTAAACCGTATGTCAGTTGCTAAATGCCAAAATCTAGCAAAAGACTCTCAGCCCGTGGTCACGAAAGTGCTAGAGTCATCTGAGGATCTAAAGAACACGCACACATACAACGAGAAAAAGGTATCCAAGAGCCCGAAGAGGTACACCTAGAAATCCCTGCAGCACCGTATGCCCAAAAACTGAACTGCACGTCCGTCCCACCTTTCAACTACAGTAGCATCACCCCCTCCCTGTCCCACTCTATACCAAAACGGAAGATTGCCGACTACAGCATACTGCTGTCTGAAGTGCTGTCTGTACANGTGAGTCTAGCCCTGCTCGCCAGAAAGACCCCCCCCTTCGCTACAACCCATGTCTAAGCAAAAGGTTGTCGAGGAGCGAGGGGAAGAAGGGAGAGTAGAGATGTTTGATTTAATGGCGTGTAGGTGGTCTCTGTAACATTTGTACAGTGGGTCGTGGTGTTCAGGGGGTCCCGTGATGTCATGAGAGGGTACGGGGAGTACATAAGGGGGCACCGTGGATCATTTTCTCCGAAAATGTTACATTTTCACCAAATTAAAAAAACTCCTCGGATATCGACGTAGTAACTCGATGAGGCCGTCACGACCAACGTTGTGTCACGTTCCATTTCTTTTTTTTTCACCCAAAACTGAATAGGACAGATTGTTGTGCACGGACCATACGTTTCTCGTTTTTTTGAGTGGGGGCGTGTGTTTAGACGGAGGTACGAACTACCGTGTGCCGGCCTGAGTCGTTGAAGGCGTTTCTGGCTTGAGGGCGTGTACTACATAACGCTCTTGGCTGGACAGGGAACCCCTGTTTCCCTGTTGGCTGTTAGTTCCGTGTTGTTGTGTGGTACCTAACAACGGACGTTAGCACACACGCCCTTGCCTGTGTTTTCACGTACATCTCACACCAACTCGCACGGAAGGTCCGCCAGCAGCGAGAAGCTTCGAAAAACTAGGAAAGGGTGGGGGGGTGGGTGGGAAAAGAACCGACGATGCTCTAGCTCCCCTCCTCTGTCTGTCTCCTCCTCTCGTCGTACTCTCGCTTTCTATTACTTTTCTTCTGTGCTCGCCCCTACTCCCCCTGGTCTACTTGTCTTGCTGCTTTTCGTTGGGATGCTTCTGTTGTGGGCAAGGGTCTATCTATCAATGCCAAATATTCTTTTTTCATTGTTTGTTTGTCCGCTATATTATAGTCTACCTGCCTACCGAGCTTTCTTATTCTCCATAGCCTACTTGGATCTTCCCAGGGTATACGGTCGCCCCGGTGATCCAGTTGGTATACCCAAAACCTTCTAGGGGTCAGGTTAGGGATTCAAATCCCGGTGTAAGCGAGCTTTTCTTGCAAAGTGAGTTTTCTCTCGCTTCCGCTCCTGGCCTAGTGGATAGCGCTAGTTCGTGTGTACAGAGAGGGAAGAGAGTGCTGAACTCTTCTCGCATTAAGAATCGAAGGCAAAGTACCGCAGGAGGGGAGGGTAGACAGGCTGTTAGCGCTGATTTGGAGTGAACACAAAAAAAAAATGCAACACAACTATGGGGTAAAAGCGGCCGCCCGTCGATGAGGCGGGACGCATACGTGGAAGCCAAAAATTTCCCATTAATGTGTGATTGACCGAGCATTGGCCGAGACGGAAGCGGTCACGAATTAAGCGGAAAAGGTCGGTATTCCCATGTGACTCATTTCGTATCAAAGAGTTGTCGTCCGTAAGTAGAATGTCGGCACCATCGCACTCGGAATATACGAAAACGATGTACGCGTACAGGAGAAGCCGAAATAATCGCGGAATATCGAAAACGCAACCTACACCCCTCATGAGTGTCGACATAAATGTTGTACCTTCCTGTCGCACAAGTTTTTCGTCGAAAGTCGCACTGCAAGCGCGGGCTCGACAGCGCGAAAAGATCGCGTTCTCAGAGGAAGTCTGAACGCGGGGACACCAGACACACAGTTCCCGACGCAAGTAATACACGAGCAGAGAGTTGCACTGCGGTGCAGATCCGCGAGTGCGCGCCAGACCACGCACACACACAGACGCCAGCAGGTGCGATGAAGACAAAAATGTTCGCCCTGCTGGCGGGTTTTCTCGCCCGCACCATCATGGCTACTGCTGCTGCTGCTGCCGTGCCTGCTGCTGCTCTTCGCCCCGAACCTGAAGTCGAAGTTACGGGGGTGTGCACACCCTAAGAGCTCCTGCCCCAAGCCAACCGCCTCAGCCGTGACGCGGCCAACAAGGCGAGGTTTGAGTCCAGTCTTCCCAAGGTGAACTGCGTTGTCAAGAGACGGGAATCCCGCCGCACGGTCACGCCCCCGGGAGAAGCTCAAGCGCACGAGGTTGCCGGAGATGGGGATTGTGCTTACCACGCCTTGCTGAAAGGTCTCCAGGCGAGTCTTGGACAGACGAACATGCGTGTTCCACGAATGTCTGATGGTGTGAAGAGTGCCCTCAAACACAGCATCATCTCCCACATCCTAGGACCATCAGCGTCGCAAGCGGTCATGACCACTCTGCTTTCGACTGAGCAGACGCGTCGGGCTCGCGCTCTTCAGTGCACTGAAACTTTCCGGATGCATCCGTATGAGCTGAACACACCTGAACCCGCGGACAAAGGCGTGATGACCTACGGTTGGCTGGATACGAACGATAGTGCAAGAGAAGCTACGGACGGAGTGGCTGGGCTTGTGCTGACTTTCACTCATCCCCGAAATGAACGGGATCAAAATTGCGGTTTGGGAGCCTACCGGGAGAGGGCAGTTGGTGCAGCTGCACAAGAAGAACATATGGGGCCTCTTTCTGTTTGACAAAAAAATCAAGCACGACGAAGAGGGGCATAAGTGGGTGCACCTGTTAAACCGCAGCGGGAGTAGTTGGCAAGCGAGAACCGAAGTTGGAGGTGACGAAAATACGGTGTCTCGCCACAACCACTTCGACTTTCTTGCGCTCGGTGCCGATTTTGAAGCTGAGTTCGACGCTATAATCTCCGTCGCCGGGTCTGGAGGAGAGGGCGACGGCGACACTTCGCTGCCGTCACCTGTGCCGGTGAAAATGACGAGGGCGGCGGGGAGTGCGGAGACGACGTTGAAGCGGCAACGCACGAGCACGAAGAAGTCGTAGCTGGAAGTTGACGACGGGCCGCTGGCGCAATCGAAGCGCAAGCGGACGGCGAAGAGCGNAACCGCAGCGGGAGTAGTTGGCAAGCGAGAACCGAAGTTGGAGGTGACGAAAATACGGTGTCTCGCCACAACCACTTCGACTTTCTTGCGCTCGGTGCCGATTTTGAAGCTGAGTTCGACGCTATAATCTCCGTCGCCGGGTCTGGAGGAGAGGGCGACGGCGACACTTCGCTGCCGTCACCTGTGCCGGTGAAAATGACGAGGGCGGCGGGGAGTGCGGAGACGACGTTGAAGCGGCAACGCACGAGCACGAAGAAGTCGTAGCTGGAAGTTGACGACGGGCCGCTGGCGCAATCGAAGCGCAAGCGGACGGCGAAGAGCGATGGGGGTAGCAAGAAAAAACAAGGGCCAAGCGGAGAAAGCAAGGGGAAGTCAGGGGGAGGTGGCGCGGCCGGCAGCACGGGGGGGGGCAACTACGACTCCGATGGGAGCATTGGCGACGAGGGCACGGACTGGACTTATCTCGGATGCAGAGGCGCGCTCCCTTCTCTCACAAGGAGTCAACAGCTGCTGCGGCGCAAGCTGAACAAGATCCCTGATCCAGCGTACAAGGCGGCGTTCAAACGTACGAGCATCATGAAAGCGAAGGCCGAAAAGGTGTGTTCTGTGTCCCGCGTCCCTCTTGTGATCGTGTGTGATTGCGCATCCGTTAGGGCGTGCTTGTAGGAGTGTGTGCCTTTTTGTCTTGTGTCGGCGACTGATGGGTCGTGTTTTGTTCCGTACCGGGTTGAACCTCTGGTTGACGTGCTTTGTTTGAGGCAGTGACACATAATTGCAATGGTCTCTTCTATTCTTTGTTTCCGCCGGTCGTTTGCTGCGGTATTGTGTAATGCAACTCTTTTTCTCGTATCACGTACAACGCCCCTTCGTCGTTGGTTGTACGCAATGGTTTCGTCGTGGTCGACGCCGTTGTACTGTGGTTTGTCCACGACGGCTGTCAGGAATATTTGTTGCTGTACATCGTTCAGGCCCAAAACGTGTGGCCTACTTCCACGCCCCCGCCTCACGCCCGTAGTGATACGCTTATGGTTGTTTTTCGCGCGTGTGTCCGCATTTTCACCAATTGTTCTTTTTTTGTCCCAACCATCGCTGTTCACGTTTGTTTGTTCGCTGGACGTGTTGAACGCAGCTCCGATATGAACGGCAGAAGAAGAAGGAAGCCACCAACCCCAAGCGGAAGAAAAAGTCCAAGTCCAGGAAGTCGCCACCCCCAGAGCTGGAAGAGGAGAGCGGTGACGAGGAGGTGGTGTGGACGGAAACGGGGATGGAGGACTACGAAACATCCGACCACTTCACAAGGCGCATCAAGATGTCAAAAGACATCGGGCGTGGAGTTTTGTTGTCGGCAGAGGCTCGCGCCGCGCTGTCATCGTTGGACAACTTCATGTCGCACCAGAACCCTACCAGCGGGGAGTTTTCGCTTGACCTCGTCTTGGAGAAGTGCTTGGACCTCACCTTCCCGCAAAAGGCGCGAAAGTTGTTTTTGGATAAGGTATGTTAATTTTATTGTTGTCTTGTTGCGACACGCACCGCTTTGCTTTCATGTGTCCCGTGGTGCGCGTGTGTGCGNATGGATAAGGTACGTTAATTATGTTGTTGTCTTGTTGCGACACGCACCACTTTGCTTTCATGTGTCCCGTGGTGCGCGTGTGTGCGGAGTATTGAAACAGGAATTTCCAGTGCTTGCAATAGTGGAACCGAATATGTACGATGAAGGTGCATAAACAACCCGAGACCTACCGCCCGCCCTCTTTACGGTACCCATCCACCCCGCACAAAGTCGCTGCCCCCCTGCTGCCGTGCGCCCAATAGCTCTGCCACGTTTGTGAAATGGCCTTGCACACGACTTTGACTCGAAACCTGCCTCGAAACCCGCCCCCATCTAAGTCCGTGTCTCTCTTCCCCACCCCGCCCCCGCTCCTCCGTTATTTTGTGGGCAGACGAACGCCTACGTCAAGCACTGCGCGACGGCGCCGCCGCCCGGGGAGGAGGACAAGCGGAAGCCACACCAGATGAAGAAGTCCACCACGCTCGGTGGCGTCACGCTCGGGGAGCCGTCCGAGGAGCGCAACACCTACGGCATGTTCGAGGAGCAGCATATCGACGGCATGATCGGCATTTTCATCACCACGGCCTCATGAAGAAAGTCCGGATGCGAAAGCACTGGAGTCGGTCCCCCCACGACAACTACCCGCTGGTCCAGAAGTGCATGCCGCGCGACGTGTTCGAGCTCTTGTACTGCCGCTTCCTGCACTGCTCCGACCCAAACGCCTGGAGCGACTGCTACCCGATGGCGAAGAAAACCCAGACTACGACTGCAAGTGGCATATCAGGTGTCTTCGTTTTCAACATGTGTGTCCTGTTGAAAAGCTGGGGTGTCGATTTCGTTTGGATCTCGTCGTTTCGGTTTTGTCGCAGTTGGGATGGTGAGGGCGGGACAGACGTGGGTCGAAGGGTACCGAAGCCCCCCGGAAAGTCGAAGATTCTCCCCCGTCTACGGCGCCGCTATTTCATGTGCGGGCCGTATGGTTTGTTTTTGGGTTGCTGGCAGTGAAGTTTGGCACATGCACGCTCCGAGTAGAGGTTTCTTCCGTCGAGTACATTACCCGACACTCAGTCGTCCTGGACTTTTCTTCCATCGATATCACGGGCTACTGCTTAACCAGCAGCGTGGGTGGCGGCATGAAAGGTGACCCCAAGCTTCGCCCTTACATGGACTGCCCGCTCGGCCGGACTACTCGCCACGTGCTTCACGTACTGTTGGGGGAGTGCGGCGTGTTGAGGCAGAAGATCGATGGCTCGGAGGTATTCATCGCCATGGACAACTACTTCACCTCCCTCACTCTGTTCGAGTGCCTCGCCTCCCACGACATATTCGCTGTAGGTACCTGCCGCGCCGACCGGACTGCCGGCGCTGATGCGTACCTCGAGACCCTCGGGCGTACCATTCCTAACCGCGGCGACATGAACTTCTGCCGTTCGTGGCAAGTGGCGTGCGTGCAGTGGACTGACTCCAAGGATATCTTCCTCATCAGCACCATCCACGTCGCGCAACCGGCCAAGGGAAAGGAGGAGGCAGGTGGAATTGGGGGTGGATTTGGCCGACCAACAGAACGGGTCTCACACGCACGACCACAAGTCCTACACGAACTTCTGGCGCCGTATGTATGACGCAAAGTTGGTGCAGGCGCTGACCAACGCGTTTCCGATTTTTCGCAAGTGGGTAGAACTTTTGATCAGAGAGGTAGAGGCCAAGAAGCCCATTGCACCAGGGGGTGAGTTGGAAGAGTTGGAGCTTGCGTCGACGGAGTTGGCGACACTGTCGAAGGTAGAGCGGGCTGTGTGGGATGAACAGATGGCAACGCTCCTTATGGCGAAGTGTAACGTCGCGAGGCCCAACAAGGGTGGGAGGCGTCCGGCCTCGGACAACAAGCCGGCCGACCCCGTGTGGGGTAGCGTCACCCTCAAGAGTGGACGCCTGTGCTTGAACCCTACTTGCAAGACGAGGTCGACGAAAGGGTGCTCGTGCAAGCAATTTTGCACACGGGGGGATAAGTCTGGGGTTTTGATGTGCGAAACATGCTGGAAGAGCCCGGAGTCTCACGAGCAGGCGGCGAAGGCTTACTGGGATGGTGTGGCTAAGGGCCGCAACAGAAAAGGGTTCGAATGGCAGAGGGGTTCAGTTGAGACTGCTGGTTGAGGCGCACCTGTGATTAGCACTTGTGTTGCGTTTTGTTCTTGGGGGCCGTTGTGTGATGGTTGTGCCATGGTAGCCCGGGTTGTGCCAGGCACACTGCTCGGCGTTCGTTCGCGTTTGGAACGAAAATGTCGATAAGTAGCCTACCCCCCCCCCCCCTTTCGGTGTGTTTTGAAAATTTGAGGGGTGTCACGTTCGGGCTGTGACGGGGGTGAGCGTGGTGAGTAGCTCTGCATACAATTACCAGGACAGAATATTCGTGCCCGTTTTTCTTGTGTTGATGTTAGGTGGGATAAATGAGCTTAGTTCGAATGCCAAACGAATTGAACGCACATGTTCTCGTGCACCTGTCGGAATCCCCGTGAACCTCCAAGATATTCCTGAAGGACAGACGAAAGAAACTCTCGCAAAAGAACCACGATGCATGGAACCACGTTTCCGAATGTCTTTCTTGCCAAACTTATTTTTAACATATATTTATGTTTATTCATTTGTGACACCCCGAAGTGCAAGTCCGCCCTGCTCCGCGCGACCGACAACAACCGTGACGAACTCGTGTTCCTATTTTTTGTGCACAACGAAGGTGATACGGAATGTTGACCCAACCCTTTACCATTAGCAGCAGCACGTGAACAACCAGCCTTTCCAGCATTCACAGGGACACACCAATGCCCGCCCCGTCAACACACACGTGCGCCGTTCATGTTTGAGACCTGGCTGATATTCGGTTGATGTCGAATATGCTGCAACTACCCTAGCCCGTTCGCCCATTGGGAAATCGAGCCAACACATTCGCCCGCCGGTCTCGGCTTCATCAAAACAGACAACATAGCTACCTTGCCCCGCGTGCGTAGCCGATGGCACGTGCGCCACACACTACATCGAAAGAGCGTCAAGTACAGCTGCGGGCAGCGGCTGGTCGTCAGGCCATACCGCGCGGCAGGCGTGGGTGAAGCACTTCTGCCTCCTCAGCTGAACCCCACGACCTCGCGCGTTGAGCGCCGTCCCGGCGTCGTAGCAGGCCTGCACGCGTCAAGGGCATCGATCGGTGTGAACGCGACAACATGGTAGGTGGTGCTGTTTATGCCTGTCCACATAGATTCTCGACAACGAGAATTTGTTCCTCGGAAGATCAGGTCACGCCGCGAGGTGTTTGATGTTGTCCGACTAAAATTTAGTGGAACAAAGCACCAGCAATTTTGCTACTGCTGTACCGCGTTTGATGACAGGCTGGGAACATGTCGACCCAGATGATAACAACCCCCCCGCCAGAACTATGTATACACATGTAGCTGATCCGCCAACACGCCCGTCCGCCAACACGCCCGTCGGCGTACTTCCCGCACAAATAAGCTTTCATCACAAGCTTCTTTGCCTGCTGACAGCAGCAGGACACCAACAATGTCAAAGGCTAAAAACACCGATTCTCTCGCAGTGTCGAAGTTGTGTCAACAGCTGCAGGTCTTATATGTGAAGTATTCAACACAACACAACGTGCCTCTCTTTCCGGCCTTAAGTGTCAGCAGGCCACAGACAGATAGATGTCGTTCGTGTGGCACTCCCACCACCACTCTGGCCTCGTACACATTTCCTGGCACACATACACAGCCGAGCATACCCCACAACACAGCAGTCCAATACACACACACACCTTATTCCTCATTCTTTTCGTTGTGATCTCAGCTCCTGCTGCCCTCGTTTCCACCATGGTGACGTCGATGTTGGCGATGTGTTCCGCGTGGTACTTTCCGCATAATCCAGCGTGTTGCTGTGCGGCGGCCTGCCTCTCCGGCAGTTTGCTGATATCAGGGAGCGGACCCGGCGGAGTATCGTGGTTGCAGTACCGGGCACCAACAGCGACTGCGGCCGCTTGCAAAGCTTCGCGGAAACGCTCAGGCGTTTGTGCTGCTATGAGCAGTANGAGTATGGACAGCGGCTTCAAGTCCCGCGTGGCTTTTGTAAAAAACCGTATTGATTTTTTACACTGGGTGACACCTGTTCTGGCGTGCTTAGCAGAAGGGCCATCCGCAATCTTTCGCGGCGCGCTTGTGCCTAAGCCCTTGCAAGGGATAGGCCCACGTCCTCAATGGCGGCAAAGGCTCGTTTATGACCTGACGGCAGTGCTAGACGTTGCATGATGTGTGTGCTGTTGATGTGCATTTTGTGTCCTCAGCAACATGCATGCGTTCAGCCGCGTTTGCCGGATCGCATCCGATCCTGCGTGTTTCTAATGTTGTTGTGTTGCCTATTGAAAGGCACCGGAAGTGCACTGATCAAACGGGTAGGACACTGTTAGATTGCCCATCGCTCGGGGTGAGGCATTCGTGGTACCAGAGAGAGAGAGAGAGAGAGAGAGAGAAGACACCCATCGTGCACGGGGTGCCGTGTTGATGCAGCAGCTACGAACCAGCCTTTTTGTCTAGTTTGTGGGTGATCGCGATGTGTCCGTTGCGAATGCTTGCAGCCAAAGTCCATCGTGGGTGTGGGCCTTCCCCTTCAGACCGTTCGGGATGCACCTGATACTCTATCCCCGGCCCCGGCCACGGCACATGCCCTATTTGCTCGCGCTGGCTGCGCGCAACTCCGCGGGCGCTGCTCGCAACGATGTGTGCGGCCAGTCAGACTTCCTCGTCCTTCTTCCTCTTTCTATTTCCAAATTTCGGACTAACCATTATTAGTGGTAAACAGTTTTTTGTGCCTCCCGGAAGAGCCACAACAGCAGTAACTCCCGTCACAAAAGGGTTATGTGATGTACTGACTGTAGAGGGAGGATGTTCTTCCGCACTTCGCATTCTGCTTCGAAGTGCCGATGCACCGATGCACCCATGTACCGATGTACCGCTCTGTCTGCTCATTGCCGCTGCTGTGTTTCATACCCCACGACGGTGGGTACAGATGGTACTGCTGTGTGATTATGTATTGTATTTGATCCCTCTTGTCAACTTTGTGTCAATACCCCCACGCGGGCGATGTTGTTGTTGTTTCTCACATTAGCTCTATAGTCCACAAAAAATATGGGAAGCCCGTCGTCTCAGAACCCGGCACATACGACGCCGCGGGGAAACAAAACAAAAATAGGGTACAAACCACTCGGAAAGAGAAAACGGAATGATAGAAAGAAAGTAACAGGTATCGCACTGACCGTTCGAGAAAAGAGCCCTCGGAAACCGATCAAAATACAAAAACGAAAACAAAGGAGGACGCTTCCCGCACCCGCCCAAAGAAAAAAATCAAAGGGTAACGTACCAGCACCAGGCACTACGCACCAGGGAATGAGAAAAACGAAGCAACACGGAAAATTTCACGGAAGCGTGCTTTCTAAAATAAAATGGAGGCGCTGTTACTGATATCTGATAGCATATATAATATGAAAAATCGAAGAATGTTGCTCAATCGGGAAGTCGATAACAATTTTCCACACAAAATGCGCCTCTCTCCGCTGAATATTTTTTCCCTATCGTGGGTTCTGGCAACACTGTCAGGAACAATCCTCACAACGATGGCTTGGATCGAATATATATCCTTTCTTCGGCAAATGTTTCCGTCCGGAAGTGTTGTTGTATGGTCAGCCTTGGACAATTTGTCCATTTTGATCTTTGGCGATATCTTTCGAAAGAAGTCGATTCAGTAGGAATACAAGCCATCTTAATGATCCCCATAACCAGGCGAGCAACATGTCGAAAGTTTTTTTCTTTTTTTTGTTTCGACAGCCCCAAACTAAGATTAAGTAATTTCTGAGCTACCCCTCCGAAATATGTGTTGAAGACTGGGAAAAAATCCAGGGTTTTAGACGGAAAAACGGAATATCTTGCGAACCAGATTCCTTGTTCGAAACTCGAAAAAGAAAAAAAAACTCCTGGGGAATATCGAGAGGAATTGATTGTCGCGCTTTATTTTCAAATCGTGAAGTTGGTTTTCGCAAACGATTGTGAACAAAATGCCCTGCCAATATCGATTTACGGGGTATAAGTTCGTCGTTTCTTCATATTTGTAAACTCGGAAAGTTGATCCATCTGACGAATTCCGAGAGCCATCGAAATCCGATCTCAGATTTTTCCTCTGGAAAGTAGACCCTCCAGCACATTATGAACGAACATTTCTGGTTATTTCGAAATTACAAGTTGACGAATAATGTTAAAAAAATAAAAGTTCTCTAGATTTCTTCGGCTGGAGACAAGGCTTTTTACGGTGCTTTTGAAATTTGGAACAACCCATCCTACCCCGAGAAAAGTGCACCTTAGTTATTGTTGTTGTTGTCTTCACATTAAAAACCATCCCGGTCTCTCTATCCAGTACCTCCTTCTGTCTCAATCTCTCCGTACTAATCCAGCGCTTGACTCGGTCAATTTTCGTGGTCACAGGCTAACGTACCTAGAAAAGGTATACCAAAATAAAATGGACCCCAAGGGTTAGCAGAGCGATAAAATACAAGAAAACAAGAGAATCAGAAACAAATAAACAAATAAATAGTGGAACGTGCGCACCACCAGCCTGGGGGGTAGCCTTCCGGAAGGACCCCAAGGGTCAACAGTACATGCCAGTAAAAACAAAACAATAACGGAATAAACCAAAGACAGACGAGGACATAAACAAAGTCGCACAGAGACAGGGATATCCCTAGAGACAGTCTGAACGCGACAGCAAACGGGGGAGAGGGCAACAGAAAAATT